ATTATAAACAGTATAAAGGGCAGCACCTAGAACGCTTTGCAATGTCGGTACAACAGGACTGTGAGGTAATCATAGCATGGTTTATGTTGTCCACAAGACATGCATATGTAGTTTCCTTTATTTTAAACTTCAAACCTACGAACCAAACTGAACTGAAAGCTGTATAAGAATTTGAATGATAAACTGGAAAGTATTATTTAACATGAAAAGAATTTTGGAATTCTAACAGTACATTAGCTGTTGTGTTTGTAAAACCAAACATACTGTACATACTTTAAAATGCACCGACTATGAACTTGTGTAAAAAAAACAAAAACAAAAAAAAACATAGCTCTCACTTGTATGCCTAGAATTACACTCACACATACTGTCAGCCCTTAAAACAGTCTGTTTTATGACAGATTACAGTGCCATTAATGCATTTCTTGAGCTCGAGGCAACCTTAATTGGCAGGCGCATAACTGGTTGAATTGCACGGTACTGTATGCTTACACTTCCTCCAACTGAAGCCGGCGGAGTTTACTAATTGGACAAACTGCCATGAAGTCAGACGCTGTTCTTTTTACGATCACATCTGCGAGTGGATGCAGTCATTAGTAACAGCTGAATGGTATCAATTTAAGTGACAGTTAGTCAAGAAGCCTACTATAAAAATACATTTTTCAAATGTGTTCATGGCATATGTAACTGTATTAGTACAGGCTTTTATATTTCAGTGATAACATCTAGACTATTACTGCCACATATGACTACACAGTTAAACATTTTAGGAATTAATATTTGAATGTACAAAGCCAATCTCAATGAGAAGAATATATATAAACTATACAACGGTGTCAAAATGTTAAGCCCTGTGAATCAGCTTTCTGCTAAGGTAGCAAAAACATGTCCAAAGTTAACTCGGCTCTTGTTGTGACAAAAAAGTAATAACAGGACAGAAGATTAACACAAAGTCACACACTATCTCTTACTGTTTGGGAAGTGTGCACTGGCAAGTTTTACTCTGACAGAAAAATCACAGTTTGGATCACGTACACCCCCATTCTGATTCTCTCTCAGCTCTGTCCTCTCCCCATTTATTCACCCTCCACTTCCATAATTCATCCCGCTGTCATACTGGGATCAGTTTAAGTTGCTTTATGATGCAGAGCCAGTAGAAGAAAACTCCACCCATGTCACAGACTGAGCACACTGACACAAGCTGCCTGAAGGAAATCCAGTCTAGGACCAGTGGAAATAACAAGACCTGCTGGAGCTGTCGGCATCAGACAGCTTCTGGCTTGATGGGTAGAAAACAGAGGACTGGAACATAGCTTCACTGTACAGCCCTCAACAGGATAAGCTGGTTAGAACATTGATGGATGTCAAGTCTGTACATGCCTGTCTACAAATTACTGTATTATCCAAATGCAGTTCATCATCGTACATGTATCTAGTTTCACATAACAGGGTGTTTGCCTGTGTTTTCCCACAAGACAAGGGGTGAGTGATGAAAATCTGCCTGTTGGTAATACACTTAATAAATTCTTCACTTTAAGTCTTGATCTGTGACAATTTTGATCTAGTTTATGAGTTTCAGGACAAACCTGGTTCTGAATTAAAGGGGGTGGGGATGAGGTAATGCTTTTCTGGTAAAACAGGTATATTTTTACATAAAGGTCTGGTCTAGAAATTTAAGGCAGCAATTTTAATGCAGATCTATTAAAGGTTTCATATGTTTTTGCCCCTACGGTATTTTTAGATGAGGTACTGTGACCAAATTAATGGAGTGTCTGATGACTTAACAACTGGAGAGACTTGAGCTGACCTGCATCATCCAACTGAATAAGACCTTTCAAGACCAATTAAGTAATGATGCCACAGCCAGCGCTTAAAGAAGGTGGACAACAATCGAAAGCTCCTGTTAAAACCTGTTAGATAAAAGCTTCAAAGTAAAGAAAAAAAAATCAACACCCTTATTTCCCTATTTGTTTTTAGGATGGAGTACTGCCAGGCACCTTAATACGCTTAGAACCATAACAGAAACTGAAGATTAAATGCATTCATAGACAACAAAGCACATGCAGCACGTCTGGCGTTAGCAATGTGAGCATATCACACGTGACATTGATGCAACAGAAGGGAGTGTTGCATTTCAAACAAAAGCAGAGGGGTGTTTATTGTCCTAAATAATCTGCTCACTGAGCATTTCACTAGAACGCTAACCACAGACCATCATACTCTATGCGCTGCTTTCCAAACAGCAGAGTTTTCAGTATTCAAAGCATTCAGAAAGATAGACAGATAGAAAGGGGACTCCTCATCTGTGTGCACTGGCATTTCTCTAATATGTCTGTTTAAAACATTGATCTGTAACACAACCTAAAAAGAAAACATGATTTAGTTGTGTAGAAAATGTGCTCCTTGTGGAAAAGTTCAGTCTGAAGCTCTGTGAGGACTCCATCAACTTGCCAGACTCCAATAAGTGGTCCACTGGCCTGAAGCACCCCCTAGTTTTACGGTCAGATAGCAAGAAAGCTTTTAGTGAACGATAACACACTCCTAGACAACTGCAATAAAAAAAATGAACAACTAAGCACAAACAGGCAAGAGCTAGTTTTAATAATACACATCTCATCTGACATTTACATAGTGTTTTGCAGGGAGTGCTTTTCACCACACGAGCCCTACCAGCTAATTTTCTCCACTTTGCACTACCTTACAGCAGCATGCACAACATAAAATACCAAAGACTGGGCTTAGCAGCAGGGGATAGCCTTTTTTTATTTCTTTCCTTTTCTCACTAACCATTTGAGGTCATCAACTAACTGCTGCGTGCGTCCACTAATACTTAAACTCAGGCTGCTGGGGGCTGAAACAGTGAATGAGAAGGAGGCCAAGATGGTGAATGCAAGATAGTGAGACCTGTTGCACCTAGCTAGGGGGTGTTTCATTTCAGCCTGACGTGGGATGGCAGATTAGAGCCCCCTGCACTCTATTGCTTTAGCGTGTGTGTGGGAGTGTGTGTTTTTGTGCTTGTGCACCCGTCCCCGGCCGTGTTTATGTACGTGTACTCGCTCTGACTGTCTATGAACTTCCATGAGTGCCCTGCAGTGTTCCCTGGCGCCAATTATGGTGGGGCTTGTCCCTTTTTCCTCTGTATTGGAAATGATGTGACTTGCCCTACAGGGTCGACACCACCACTACACCCACATATCTGCAGTGATTCTGCCAGCGCCTGCGGCCCTCCGCCACAATCCTAGAGAAATAATAATTATGACATCCACCCACTCAAGAGGCATGAGATAGTTCAGCTCCCCTGCCCCTTGTTCTGGCTCTTTTTTTTGACTGATTCAATATTCTGTGGGTTAGTGCTGCCTACCTTCTCTGTGTCTTAGAGAAGGAGAAGCTCTCCAGTATATCTGCAGGCTTGCTCTGTCTGAAAGTAGTGTGCTTTAATAAAGTTTCACAATGCCACCTTGTCTGTTCTACCCCAGAGCTGACACTCAAACTGCAGACTGATTGCACTGGTCAGCCCCATGTCCTGCCTGATGCCACACATTCAAGCATACATTTGTGTTTCATTTCATCGCAAGCAATTTCTTCAGTAGGGGTCGAACAGCCGTTGCTTCCCTCGATATCCACAAGAAAACATGAGGGTATGTTTTTTTTTCAGCAATGTTCTGTGGTTGAACTATTATTGGTAGAGAGCCACAGGCTTTTTTTGAAGCAGAAGAAAAACGGAGATCTCTACTACTGTAAATTCTAATAATCATGCAGACCTCTTGTTAAAAATAGATGACTGGGAAAAAGAGGGGACTTAGACAGTGGAGCGTACAGCACTCATAGTGTTTTACATGTATTAAATTGGTCCACATAGATTCATGCCTCTTTAAAAAACCATTAATCAATAATTACTCAAGTTACACAGGGACATTAAGCTTAAGCAGTTCATACACCTATGGTATAGAATGCCTATAAATGAGTTATTAAATTAATACTTCACTCATCCACCAATAACAGCCTCCAAAATCAGCTGCACAATTCACTGGTTAAAGTTGATTTGACACTTTTACCCCCCCTTCATTACACTACTTGTACTTATGCAGGACAATACCCTAACCCTCAGATAGAGAACCACAATGCGTCCTGCGGCACAAAGTGCAAACGGATTCAATTAGGCTTGAATGCAGTAAAGATTTATGTAATCAGTCGTGATCTACAGTATGGCCAACAATGTCTGCTTAATATTAACACTACTGTATAACGAGCTGAAATCACATTAGCTGCAGCAGAAAGCACGAATATCCTTCTTGTGATTGGCTGAGTTGTGCCAGAAGTCGTGATGCAGTCCCCATTAAACACACCTGTGACCACTAACAGTAATGATAAATATTCATACGCCACAGCTATATTTGGCCGTGGCTCAATGCCAGAGAACCCAAGAATAATGAACTGTTAGGCACTGAAATCTGTTAACAGGCAGAGAGCCACTACTGCGACTCAACACAGCCATAAAGCAATATAAGCAGAGTTTGAGGGATTTTCAGTGTGTAATAAGAAGCAGTATAGGCAGACTTGATTATCAGCTTTGCACGTAGGATACAGTAACGACGAGTGGCAAACAGCCAGGTGTGCTTGAGGTAATGAAACCCCCTCTGGGAAACTTGCAGGTCTGTTTCCTCCCTGTCAAGTCCAGACCTTTTTTTTTCTACTCCTAAAATCAACATGAAAATAGCTATGCTTCATGTTGGTTCCCACGCAGCTGCCACACGAGTCCACATGCTGTGCATCTGACAGGAAAGTAGTTAAAATGGTCAAAAAGAAGTAGAAAACAGCTCTATCACATACTTCAGCTAGTTGGAACCTGCCTGCAATGGACACCTGGAATCACTGCGACCGAGCTGATTTTAAGATGCAGCAGAATAAAACCTTCACCAAAGGTCACCTGATCTATAAGAAACTAATTAAGCAAGTGCAAAATTTTGGAGACATGTATAGAAATATCATGAGTGACTTACCGACTAAAACAGACGAAAAAGGAGGGAGCCTATTCCAAATATCACCATACTCTGTCCATCGGTAGGCACCGGGAACCGACGCATTGAAGGGGGGTAACCTCCACCAGCACTTTCTCACCGGACCACCTGGTTGCTTAAAAGCAGACTGACACACGAGAAAACTTCACAGGGTGCGTCAGTCCCCACTTGTCCTCTCGGGTCCTCGGTCTTTTTTTGAGTCTTACACCGCTGCCACACGCGGGCTGCAAATAATTCCGTAGCACAAGGAGCTGGCAGTGAGTTTTCACTCCGGTCCCGGGATGATGAGTAGGCTGTAGCTCTCCTCTCACCAGCCAACCCACAATTAATTGGAATTAAGTTGCAGGTTCGAGCCACCACAATAAAACAGGGCTGGGATTAAAAGGAGAGTGTTCTTTTTATTTTGCAGTCCTCTCAGAAGAAGCGCGCACCGCGTCCTGCTCTCGCGCTGCGCCGTGCACTCTGTGTAGTTAACCAATCTGCGATATATTAGAGTTGCTGTGTAATTTGCATGCTGTAGGTGGAAGGCAGGGAAGGGAAGCAGCGTCAAGCCAACCATAGTACATAACAGGACTTCTGCTGATAGCTTTCAGAATAAAAGCCTGTAAGCGTTAGACGGACAGGAGATCGATTCATTTATGGATTCTGTTCATTTCTCAGTTTCCTTATAGGTATAAGCCATTATCTAAAACATATATACGTTGTGTCTCCATATTTAAGAAGCGTAAACACATCCACTGAGCATCCTACAACCGTTTCACCTGTCTTACAATCCTTTCCATAGGGAGAAATCAATTATATCCCTCAACTTTCAGCTGTTTGGTATTTTTTATTTATTTATTTATTTATTTACAGCTGGGAAAGCTCTGTAGCAGCTGCACAGAGCTCCTCCTCTTGGAGGTTCTTACAATAAAGTAAAAGGAAAAAAAACTTGCATGATGGGCTTTAAATAGCTGAATTCCAATACCAAGCCCAAAGGGTAAATATTGCTGTATAATAGACATACACTGTACTGCTAATGCATCCAAAATGCAGATTAATACAGATTGATTCGGTGAGCCACTCCATTAAGATAGTCACACAACACCTTATACAGCAGAATCTGTCCTCATGAGGGAAACAATAAAGGATTTTTGTTTTTCTGCACAAACTCCAGTGGCTAATTCTTTGTGGGGGATCTGCACAATGGCACGTTGGACACCTTCCCACAGGCTGGCCTGTGTCCTTGAACAAGACACTGAAGTGCAATTAGCTCCAGCTGATTTGTAGCTCAGCCTAACCTCTGACCTCCCTGGGGCACAAGCAGTGATAAAATATAATCATTACTACTCCCTTGCTTGTTTAGTGTGATGAGTTAAAAAGCCTAACAGTTTGATAAGTCAAAGCACAAGTAAGCTTGGCATAACCACAGATTCATCTGTGTCTAAACCCCAGTTGCAGTTCACTGCAGCTTAAGGGTCGATCACTTTCAGATGGGCCCAGAATGTCATAGCCCAGCCTCATATTGTGGCTTTATGTGTCTCCTGCTTAAACCTATGTGGGTTTGTCACAGGATTAATGTAAATGTAACTCCCATCTGGAACATCAGAGACTGCTGCAAGTCTGTGCTCGGCCTCACCGGTGACCCAACCTAGATAGATCGCCTCTAAAGGAGGTGGTTGGAGGATTGAGGAAGCAGAAGTGAATGAAAGTGAAAAAGTAAAACTTTAAAAATGGGGAGTTCAGTCCTAAATTTATTAGTAGGTATTGTGAAATAAATATTTTGATATATTGTATTCTTAGTATTCTCTTAACACAACCTGATAAAAAGTTAAAATATCTTTTGAAAGCATATTCAAGCAAATAGAAAAAGATTAAACCAACATTTAACAGTGCATGTTACATTAATGGAACTGCAAGCAACCAGACTGAGTACTAATGTAGCTGTCATCACAACAAGGACACAGCATGTTTAATAATTTATTTCCTTTTTATTGATCTGTCATTTCAACACAGAATGGAGTACGTTTTGTTCACAGTCAAATAAAGTATTAGCCCTACCAGAGTGCGTTACCAGACACACTATGCATAACCCATTTGAGCAAAAGAAATAGTTACACAAACTGCTGAGGAGAATATGGGTGCTATGAAAACAAGAATAACATTATTCAAATCTAACATAGAAAACTGTGTTTGCAATTCAAATGTCACCTGACACTTAGTGTTACATATTACACATTGCAGCTCAGTAGAGCACTGATGTTTTGTATGTGTGGCTGTGAGGTGTGTGAGGCCACAGACAGTGGGTGGACAAAATAACAAATGCCCTACAGTACTGTAAATACCAGCCATGTGAGGTTTACACTGTCTGAGGTTTTTGAGAGTATTTGGGTTGTTGATTCAGTCTGATGGTGTTTATTACAGCTGGGGTTTGTAGATGTTCCAAGGAAATACCCTGTAAACGTCCCTCAAGTAGTGTCAATGTTCTATTTGGGGCAGATGTGCCTGTTTGTGGGATAATTCATTATGTTTTTTAGTTTTCCTGTCCCAGTGTTTGCATAGCAGCAACACACTGAAAGCCATTAAGAGCACAGCACTTTATTTCTCTAATGCACAGCTATAGTCTGTCAACACCGACGCCAAAGCTGAATTTATTCTCTTTATGAAGGGTGTTTTTTTTTAAGTTTCTCTAATGTTAGTTTTTACTATAGGGGCACCAAGATTTCCCTGCTGCAATCTGTAAGCCTTAAAACACTGAGCCAGCTTCTGTGGGCTGCAGTGCATGAATTCTGATTTAACATTTTGTATACTGAGCATCATTATATTAATTGTCAGTGCAAATTGAAAAGTAGGGTGACGCTCATGAAGGAACTGTTGGCAAGTGTCCTATCATTAACCATGTACTCAACAGGTTTGCTGCATCCACAGCACATTCCCACATCTCCCAGTGTTCCTTTAGTAATAAGTGTTATATAGAAAGAGACATAGTGGCTATTATGTCAATGCAATTACAGGCCTCCCACTTGTCTGATAAAGCAGCAGATAGGAGCATCTGAGCTGAGAGAAAGTGTGGACATATTTAAGAGCAGGATAGCATTAGCCAAGACTTCATCTAACTCTCATGTTGGATGTGGGTTGAAAATCTGTGGTTGAAGACTAAAAACATGCCTTTTATTTAGAGAATCCTCAATCTGTGACAAGGTTCAGCTATTTAGTGAATATCTGGGTTTCTTAGCTACAGCACTTCCTATGCATAAGAACGCTCAAGTCATTGCTTCCTGGTGCAAATTATGCACTTTCTGAAAAATGAGTCTCATCTGAAGAACTTTCCTTTACAAAACAGGGTTTCACTCCTTCTGATGTCAGTATCAGTCATCGTCATATATTATCACAGTGCCCATGAAGCCAAAGGAGTAAAAACCCTGCTGCGTGACAGGATCCAAAAGACAGGGCAACCTTTGCTTATCTGCTATGAGAATCTATTGCCAAATAATGGAAAATACGTCTGTGTGTGTTTTTCTTGGCCTAAGGAAACTGGCCCACCTGCAGTCCTACGCTGCACAATTTGTGTGCTGCAGTCAGAAATGTCTCCCATGCTCTGCATCAGGGATCCTTATGAGATGGGGAAAAAAAGGCTTGCCAGGACCCAGACTGGGTAAATTTAGTCTTGCTCTGTGCTTTTCTCCTGTCAAAAGGAGACCCATCAGAAACTAGCCTTCCAATGAAAACTTGAGAATCCCATCCTCTATGCTGCTCACCTCAAACTCTCAGTCGTGAAAAAGTGGCTAAGTCCACAGGCTGCTACTGTGTGGGATTAGGGCCAACAAACACTGCATGCTGTTAGAGCTCAAAATATCCATATTAAAGGTCTTCTAAAGTATTATATAAAGAGCATTTACGTATATAGTTGGAAAGTCATCTTCCTCCGCCCTTTCTGACATTACCGTATTCTGTATCATCTTTTTCCAACTCGGATGTTTACGCTGAGGGTAATATTCAAACCCAGCACTCCCATGTTTTTATGGCTGCACCATTCAATCACATTAATATTTTCTAGATTTCGTGTGCATATTTTTAATTTATTCCCCCAATATTCGGTAACTTGGAGACTTTCCAGCTTCATCTGGAAGTTTTAAAGTTCTGTGGATTTGAGCAGTGTTTGACTGCACAGCAGGTGTTTGTGATGACTGACTCACAGCAGCTCAGTGAGGTTTCAGTTTATAGTGCAGCACTGGGTTTCATCTGTCACCACCACAAGACCAGATGGATCTATTGTACACCAGGCTGAATTGCACTTTAATTATATTCCCCAGCAATTGTGTTTACATCCTTTCCATCACTGTGATACAGAGCAAACTTCTCTTAATTAATTTCACTGTGATTGAGACGGCGGTGATCGTGGTGAGCAAGAGATGTCTTTGCAAGATGTGTGTTGAAAAGCCGAAGGCTGTATTGTTATATTCATTGTTGTCAACTATTAATAATTTCCACTATCACTGGAAACATGTTGAAACAAGACAGGGTAGCCAGTTGACCAGTCAGTCAACTAGCTGTCTGTACTAGCTGCTTGCACTTCTATAACACTGTTGGATTCACAGTGGAGCAAATTTGATGCAGCAGGTCCAGATCTCTTGTTTTTTTACTTACTCCTACAGTACATTACCCACAATGCAACTTGAGCTCTGACAGTTTGGCCAAAGACTTGTTGTGCTATGCCCATGTGCTCTCATAGCCTTGAGGCTCTAAGCTCAGACAGAGGTGATGAATTTCATACAGCAATAAGACCTCTAAACAGACTTTTATATGTAAAATTGACAAACGTTCCCTGTAAGAGGTGAAGATAACCTCGAGATTTATCCTCTATACTGTTATAAATTCATTTGTACTGAAAGTAATTTGTTGCTCTTTGTATAGACGTAAGCCCAGTGACAATGTGATGATCATGTCAAGGTGTGGAACACTGATTTTTATGAGATTATTATAGCTGTTCAACTGACTCATTGGTCTGTTTTTAAATATTGAATACAAGTATGTTTGTGCCCTTTCCTGTTCCATTTTTATGCTTGCTATTGCACCAAGGACTGCTTTTTCAATTTCATTGTACAATGTACAACAACAAATAAAGTTCTATTCTATTCGCCCTGTTCAGACCAGTTGCCCTCTGGTTGGCTCCCTTGTATTCAGCCTGACTGCTGCTGTACAGGAGCTGACCTAATTGCCCTGTAAGTTCCCAAGAGCTCTTGCACTCAGGCCATGTGCCTTTTTGAATAACTCAAATGCTGCCCTGCTGTGAGCTTAGGGTGAAAATGAAGCCTTTCTTAATTCCTAACATGGAAAGTACTGTTGTTAAAATACCCTGTCCTGCACTGGCAGCTTTAGAAAACATCTCCTAAAAATATTATTTTAAATATCATATCAGTGTATTTAGTATAGGAAAGTCAATGTAGCCGAAACAGTCAGCTGTCTCCTTTTCTTCTGAAATGAAGGGTCTGGTCACTTAAGTAAGGTCACTCTTAATGGCTTTA